TGTCATCATCATCATCCCCATCATCATTTAATTATTTTGGCTGTGTTTGATAGTAACCTGAAAATTTTATCATTTAATTTCCACAAATGGCCTTGGGTAAATGTCATCCTAACCCCCATCTTACAGGGTGGAAAAACCAAGCTTCAGACAGACTGAGACACATGGAATCCCTGATACAACAAATAGCTGTGTGGTTTCTAGACTGGTTCAGTAGGAGTAAGGGAGAAGAGGTTCTATGAGTAAAGACTTATAAGCCCCCCTCCATAATGATTCTGTGTCTATGATTAGAGCAGGCAGTGGGCTCAGTTTTACCAGTGATTGCCTCAAGAATTTAGTCTTTTTTTTTTGGTTCTTTTCTTGGTACCGGAAATCGAACTCACGACCTTGAGCTTGCCAGGCTGGCGCTGTGCCGCTGAGCTAAATCCCCAGCCCCAAGAATTTAGTCTTGGCACAGACTCTGTTATACATTCTCCTGTGTCAGGTAGAAAATTTCAGCTACAAAGTCAAAATATGGTGAACTCACCTTACATTGGACAATACTCCTTCAATTTGCTTGGGACCTGACTTCCTCCTGATTCAGGAGGACAGGGTCCTGATTTACTACTCTGTAAAAGAGCATACCAATGCATGGAACAGAGCTTGGCACATAATTGGTGCTCAGTAAACATTTGTGTAATGAAAGAACAACCCTTCTCTAGGATGGAGTTGGAGTTCCTTTTTTTAAAGGAAATTATGGGTTCCCTTTCAGAAAGAACCTCCTGAAATAAATGACCATGCAAGACAGGCCTGGAAGATGACCTGTAAGATGGCCTGTGCTCTACTCACCAAGCTGCGGCTCTGATGCAAGGCTGTCTGCATGGAGGAAGGGTACTGTATTCAAATTCACACAAAGTTGCAATACATGGCAGCCGTAGCTGAATCTGAGGAAAATTCTTGAGATCTGCACCCCTAAGGTGAGTACAGACTAAGTGTACTTTCAACAAGTAGACTGTCACAACATAGAGGCACAGAGACTCCGGTGTCTTTTGTATTGGTGATACCAGACCCAATGTTCCAATATGACAAGGTGTGCTATGGGGCACTCTTCTGTGGGGTGCTCCATCGTGACCCTAAGGATGCCGCTGGCACTTCACGGGGTGATGGGAAAAACACAGAAGCTCATGGCTTGAGAAGAACCTTCTGAAATATGTTTCTCAATGTCATGTTACTCTCCAGCATCACCACCAATGTTGTAATTTTATAGATCACAGTTTCATAATTTAATAAATAAAGGTGTTGATAATTTTGAGATTACTGGCATTTTTATCATCCTAGTAACTAGTAGTTTTGAGCCTTGTCAATATTTTCAGCACACTTATATTTACATCAGCTTGTATTATCTCATAGTATTTCTTAATTGAGGTGCTACTGGTATTTGGGGTGTGTCCATTCTTTCTTGGAGACAGGACATTAGGACTGTGGCTCTTTCCACCAAATGCCAACAGTGCCCATGTCATTGAGGCCACCACTGATGCTCCCCCACATTTCCAAATGTCTCCGTGGGAATGGTGCAAACCCCAGCTGAGACCCCCAGGCATACCACTGCCATTACACTTGTCACAACTTATGGATAAGCGAGATCTGAAGATACCCAGGACTGAGCAATAGAAGACATCTTAGGGAAAGAACACACCTAGCAGAATTAGGTGACCACTGCTGTGGTCTGAATATGGTGTGTCCCCTTCAAAACTCGTGCTGAAATTTAATCCCCATAACGAGCTGTTAAGAGGTGAGACCACACGGCCCCTTTAAGAGGAGATTAGAGATCTGCTCCCATGAATGGATTAATCCATTCACGTGACTAATAGATCAATGAATTAATGCAGTAGCTTGAAAGTGGGTCTGCTATAAAAACCAGTTTGTTTAGGTCTTTCCTGTGTTCCCTGTCTCTAATCGTGCGACTCTCTGTACCACTTGGGGACACCAGTGGCCAGAAGGTCATCACCAGAAGTGGTCCCTTCATGTTGGACTAGAACCCTGAACCGAAACAAACCTTTCTCTCCTTTTAAAAAATACTTTATCCATTCTGTGGTATTGTATTATTAGCAACAGAATAGAGACGAAGAGAGTCACCTTCTTCCTGCACACCTTGTCTCCTCCTCTTTGTCCTTTGCATTTGAGAATCTTTGTCATAAAATTTATCAAGCCCAGGTCTGTGCTGCTTCAGTGGGACAATATCACCGGTAAATTACAGAGAGAGCATACGTTAGGGAAGGTGTAGGAGGGACTATTTACAATTTAGTTTTCACTTGTTTGCTATTTTGCTTGTTTTCATATAAGACATATGATGCCTCCAGATTCCAGATCTACCCATCTGCCTGACAATTACTGAAATGCCTAACACAAGGCTGGGGGCTTCCTGTACTGTATTTTGTTTTCTTTTTACAACAGTTTGTTTCATGTACAACATTGTTCACAAACCCATTTTTATAGATGAACCAACCGAGGCTTTGAAAAGGTATGAAACTTTCCCATAGTCAGCTTTCTGCTTCCAGTGTCTGTGTTCTGGCTATAACACTGTTGAAAAAAGCTCAGGAGCGGGGCATGGTGGCACATGCCTGTAATCCCAGCACTCTGGGAGGCTGAGGCAGGAGCACTGCAAGTTTGAGTCTAGCCTGGGCAATTTAGAGATTTAGCAAGACCCTGTCTCAAAGTAAAAAAGGGCTGAGAATATAGCTTAATGCCAAGGCCCTGCAGTGAGTTTAATTCCCAGTTTTTTTTTTTTTTTTAAAAAGAGGCTAGGCTTAGGGAGTGGGATGAAGGTGTTAGAAAAAGAGGTTTCTGTCCAAAGTTTGTACAAGCCTTGCCCTCCAGGGAGCACCAAGCGGCATCAGTAGGATCCAGCCTGTCGGTACCACTGGAAGGTTGGCTCATTTTGGACCAATGAGGGGAGAGGCCTTTTCAGGCAGTTTTTCTAAGTGACACTGGGTAAAGGGTGAATTGGCTGCTTCTGTAATAAACAAGTGCCAGCCAGAGAGTCTGCTGCCGCCTGGAGGATTTGGCTGTCCCTCTTTCCCAACCTCTGCAAAACATCTAAGACCGGATGCTGGGGGAGAGGAAGGAAGGGAGGAAGTTGGCCTGTTGGTCCTAAGGAATCTGATGCCATGGCTTCTAGGGCTCCACTATGGGAAAAAACAGGACCAAAACGGATGTAAAGATCCATTAACACTATTCCATTCATTTCATAGTATTTCATAAACTTTGCCACCTGCCAGATTTTCTTCTGGGTGCTGAAGAAGCAGCCACCAACAGATCCAACAAATATCTCTGTCCTCATAGTGCTTACATTCTAATGAGGGGACACAAACATCTCCCTGTCAGATGAAGAGAAATACTTTGAGCCAAAGGCAACAAGGAAGGAAGAACTCAGCTTGTGGGGGCATTTTCATTTCTAACAGCGATCGTCTCTCGAAGTGATATTTGAATGAATAATAAGAACCACCCTTCCGGGTACAATTATCTCACAAATGCTCACAATAACCTGAAGAGATATGGCTCTGGTTAGTGTCATTTTATAAAGAAACTGAGATTCAGGGAGACACAGCGATTTCCGGACATGGTACAGCTAGCAAGGGGTGGTACTAAGATAGGGAACCCAAGCCACTGGAACTTCAGCGGCTGCGCTCTTACATGTGGTGCAGGCAGCCTAACCAGGTTGCGGAAAAGGCAATTTGCGGGTGCAAATGGAGCCTCTGGGTGCCTACAAGGTGACTTGGGTGGTACTCATGCGCAAATGTGAGCTGACTTGATGGGGCACAGGAGGGGTCCGGGTGCCCACAACTTTCGCGGAGCTAGACAAGAACAACCGGTGGCTGGGAGTTCCCTGGTCCTTGGCAAAGGAGTGGGCCAGTGGGGGAGGGAGCGCAACCGCTAAGGTTGTTCCGGGACAGTGCAGGTTGAACCTCACCCCGCCGCCAACCCAGCTGCTCCAGTCAGTAAGGGAAGACCTCGCGGGCGCTCTTCGCCCTCCTGGTGGGGTTCGCGCGGGAGTTCCTAGCACAGCTGAAGAGGACGGTGGAGCTGTGACACGAGCTATAGGCGAGGCCAGCGCAAGGAGGGCGCAGGGAGCGGCACCCTGCGTGGAGTCCCCGGTGTGTTCCCAGGAAGCCCCAGGCGCAGGACGCAGGGGAAGGCTCTTGGGAGTCCTGGGTTGGGACGGGGTCTGTGTGCAGCAAATGGGTAGGAACTACGACGTGCTGAAGCAGACGGAGTAAAAGAGAGGCGGGGGTGCATCTCGCTGGTGAAAGAGGTGTAAGGGGTGTCCAAGAAGGACCTGGGGAGGAAGCGAGTGAGTCAGCTTCTCGCGCACTGAAAAGGTGGTGCTAAAGGGCATAGGAAGAAGGGAGACGGTACTGATGCCAGAGAGAGAGAGAGAGAGAGAGAGAGAGAGAGAGAGAGAGAGCGCCAAAGCGCGGGATCTGGCGTGAAGGAACCGGAGTCGAGGCGCCCGGGGACCCTTCCAGAGTAGTGGAGGCGGTGCCCTGGGCGCAGCAAAGCTAGACAGGCGCGTAGGTTAAGCCAGTGTCTTTCCCGGGCCCTGGAGAGCCCCAGAGCGGCGCCTGAGCGCCCAGAGAACTGGGCGTGCCGTTGGCTGCTATCGTTGTGCGAGTGTCGGGCTCTACAAAAGTGGGTTGAGAAGACCCAGGCGAGCGCCTAGACCCTTGGAGGAGGCGGGGAGAGGCAGCAAAGTCCAATAAGAACTTTCCCGGGTTAAAGAGGGAGGGGCGCAGCACGGGCGCTGAAAGAGGCGTAAAGTTAGCCTGGGCGAGGGTAGGTCGAGGTTCTGAGCCCCACAGAGGGTGCCTAGGAGGGGCTGACGGCTGGGCCACAGTTGGGAGAGCCCGGGAAGGTGTGCAGGAGGGCCGGGCGCGGAGGTGGCTAGGAAGGGAGCCGCAGAGAGCCCTCTGGGTTCCTAGGAAGGGTCTCTCCCTCCTGGCGGCTTCTGGCCCCAAACCACTCACCATGATAGAGAAGACCAAACCCACGATGTTGATGGGGTACGCGGGGCAAAAGCAGGAGACGATGGTGAGCCACAGGTAGCTCCTCGGCATGGGCATGTCCTCCTCTGTCTTGTCATCTTCAGTGTTGGCCTCCGGACTGCTGCTGTCCAAAGCCCCCTTGAGGTCCGAGCCGGGGGCGTACTGAGACATGGGCGAAAGTGGTGGCGCAGGGAGGGCTGAGGAGCGCACGGTGGGCGCGGGCTGCGGCTGTGGCTGCGCGCTCATGGCGAGGCTCTGAAAAAGCCGGCGGCAAGGGGCTCCAGGGAGATGTGACCTCAGCCCTCTTACTTCCTCTGCCTGCACCCGCCCAGGCTCAGGGACCAGGTCCAAGAGCCTCCCTACAAGGAGCGAGGGAGGAGGGAGGGAGGCAACGAGGAGAGGGGAGGAGGATAAAGAGAACCAGTCACCGGGGTAAAAAAGGGAGAAGCTTTGGAAGAGTGCACTCCGGGGGGCACACGGCACATCCAGAGACCACCGGACAGGTGCGGACTAAGAGGTCTGCAAGCAAAGGGCGGAGGGAAGGAGAAGCAAGCTTGTTTAAGTTTCAAGTTGGCCAGCCCTTGTGCTGAGGACGGTCAGCTCACTTTTTTTTGTTGTTGTTTGTTTGTTTGTTTGTTTTTTTTCGGTACCGGGAATTGAACTCACGATCTCGCGCTTGCAGGCAGGCGCTGTGCCCCTGAGCTAAATCCCCAGCCAATCAGCTCACTTTTAAAAGCCACTAGATTTGAATGCATTGGAAGGGACAGGACCCACCTATGCATTCTGCAACAGATTTCCTATTCTTTCCAGACTTCCCAGGGTGCTCAAGAGTTAGGGACTGCCCTGGGAACTCCCACTTTTCCCAAATGTGGAAACAAGGATTTCTCTCCACTTTTCCACCTATACGACCCTTGGAAAGAAAAGCCAGTGTATCTGAAGTCACACAGGAGGGAGGAGAACTGAGGCTCTGAGCTCAGATGAAGCTGGAAATCGTCGTATGAGAGATCAACGGTCTCAGGAAAGTCCCGTCATCTTGCTGGGCGCCAATTTCTTATTTGAAAGAAAAGGAATATTAATAGTCCCTTCCTCACAAGATGTGGTGAGGACCTTATGAGAGTTCATTTATTTTTTATTTTATTTTTTTTTTGGTTTTTTGGTTTTTCTCCGGTACCAGGAACCGAACTCACGACCTTGCGCTTGCCAGGCAGACGCTTTGCCGCTGAGCTAAATCCCCAGCCCTGAGAGTTCATTTAAACCAGGCAAATCTCTGTCCTCCATAAATGTTAGCTTTTATTAGGGTGCTGTTCCCCCAAACAGTTGATTATAGTGTATGTCAAAATTGTTATTGGGGTTGTGGCTCAGCAGTTGAGTTCTTGCCTTGCATACACAAGGCCCTGGGTTTAATCCCCAGCACCACAAAAACAAACAAACAAACGAACAAAAATAAAACTGTTACTTAGTGTTGCAAATATTTTACCTGAAATCTGGATATCCTGAGCTGGCAGGATAATAAAAATGAAAAAATAATTTTACGGTGCACAGTCTAAAAACAGTTGCTCACATCATCATACTCAAAAGCATTAATCATCCGCTTCACTTTCTTAAAACATGAAATGATTGCCTGGGATGTTCTCATTTATCCACAGGGCCATATTTATCTCTCCTTCATTGGCTGCCTCAGAAAGCGGACCTTTCTGCTCCTATGTGTGTCAGCACATGGCACAGTGGCTACTAGCAGGTATATGCTTAGTGTAGCTTGCTGCATGAACACTCAAAGATGGACTACTGTTTTCTCCATTGTTTCTTCTTCACCGTTTTGGTTAGTTAATTCAAGTTGGGATGAACCAAAAGATTAGACAGCCTTTGTATCGGCTGGTCCCTCTCCTTGAAACGCTGCTCTCCCAGGCTTTTGTATGGCTTTTCCCTTCTTATTCTTCAACTGTGAGTTTAAGTGTCACTTCCGCAAAGAGAGGTTATTATAGTTTATATCTAGATGTTCCCCAAGAGCCTCATGCAATCAAAGGCAGTGCTTTTGGAGGGAAGATTGTGGGGGTAGCAGCTGACTTGCTGTTGGTGGCAGGGTCTGGGTGTGTGGCTAGAAGGATTTTGCTCCCTCTGAGATTTTTCGCTTGCTCTCTGGTTCCTAGATGCCAGGAGGTAAGCATCTTTCTTTTGCTCAGTCCCTTCATGCTGTCTCTATGTATGAGCCTGCTGCACATGGACTGGAACTTTTAAAACGGGAACCAAAATAAACCTCTTTCCTTAAGTTGTGTTACGTATTTTGTCCCAGGAAAGAGGAAAGTAACTAAAACAGAGTGTTTGGATTTGTCTAGCGTAGATCAACTGAGGATGTTATATTTTACTAGCTTTGGGCTTTCCTTTTGGTGGCGTGCATCACAGTTGTCACTGATTCAATTACTCATTCACTGCCTGCTCTTTCTCTAAACTGTAAGCTCTTTAACTCATTCACAGTTGTGTCTCCAGTGCTTACAATTGTTCTGACACATCACAGGAATATAAGAAATATTTATGGAACGAATGGACCAGAATTACCCGGGATATTGAAAAACAACTTCCAGGTCTTGGCCAAGAATGATTTGAATTAGAATTTCCTAGAATAACACCCCAGGAATCTGCAACTCTTTAAGACCTGAGAAATCTGTACTTTTAGAACACTCCCTGGTAATTCTGATACAATGGGCAGTTTCTTACATCCCAATACCATTGCTAAGTTCTTAGGATATAGCTTGCGATGTTTAGTGTGGCTATTCCCTTACATGCCTCAAACTCTGCCTGTGAAAAGTGAGCTCATTTCCTTCCTTACGAGCCTGCTTCTCAAGCCTTGTCCTTCTCACTGACGACCTTGTCCTGGCCCTACCCATTTATGCAACCTCCTTTTCTGCCATTTTTTTTTTCTTGCACTTCAATTACATAGATTTCTTTTCCCTTTCTCAAATACCTGGCCTTTCCCCACCCCAAGTTCTCCCACCTGCCTTTCCTTCTTCCTAAATGCTTTCCCCTCTTCTTTCTTAGTTGGCTCCTTCTCATTGTTCAGAAGCCACTCAGCCGCTGGGTCACCACTTGAAAAAGATCTTCCTTGAGCATCTTATCTAAAATAAACTCTACCTTCTTATTCTCTACTTCATTCCCTTATTTATTGTCTATGTCACAATTGTCAAAATCAGAAAAGTTCCTGTTTGTTTCATTATTTATTGTCTGTCTCCGCCAGCAGAAAGGAAGTGCCACAGAGAAGAGTTGTTTTTTTTTTTTTAGGGAAGTGGTTCACTATGGTCTCCTCTTACACCCAGAACAGTGCTTGATTCTTGGTTCGTGCTCCATAGTGAATTCACTGAATGAACAAACTGACTAGTCACCAAGTGCAGAACTTGGGAGCACTAGTTTTCTCTTTCCTTCAGCTGCTTCAGGAATTATTCCTCCAACTCTATTGATTTCACCTCAAAGTCACTCTTTACCCTGTTCTCTTTTTTCTATTCCCACAACCAGCATTCAGTTCTAGCTCTTATCAGTAATATAAAGGCTCAGCTCTTTGAATCATGTTTTTAATCTGAGGCTGGTTAATTTAGATGGTGTCACTAAGCCCAAGGTTGAGTACCAAGTTGATATTTTCTTTTCAAGGGTAATGAACTACACCTTCCACTCTAAGTCATCCGTCACCCCAGGAAATGCAAAAAAACAAAACCAAAACCAAAACCAAAAAACCCCCACAGGATTGTCGATTCAGTATGGACCCTTCAGAACCACCACGTAGTCACTGAGTACCTACTCTGTGTACTCAATACATTCCTTCTCTGCATCATCTCATTTAATTTCTACAGCAGGTTTTGTGAACTAAGTAACGAGATTTCCTTTTTTACAAATGAGGACTTTTAGGGTCAGATAGCTTCTGGGGCTTGTGTAGGGCCTTATGGCTAAGTGGAGGCACCAGATTCAAACTAGGCATAAGACATTTGTTCAGTCAGCAGGCTGAACAAGAGACTTAGATGAACATCTCTGCAGTCTACTGGAATTCTATTCCGCTCAAGGAAGATGGATTAATAGCTTGTTGGCCGGTCTAAAATGTAGCAGTAAAACTACAATCACTTGAAACATTGAAAATTAAATTGAAAAGCAAGCGCCCACACCAGAGAGTGTAATGTATATGGTACTGATTCTTGAGGGATGCATTAGATCACTTGGTTGGGTTTCCAGCTCTCATTTCCTGAGCTTCACTAATTTTCTCTTGAGAGGTCAGTTTATTGCTCTTGGATGAACCCTACTGGCTGATTGCTTAATAATGTGGCAATACTTTCCCTCTTTGAAATGAGAGAGGAGAAAGCAAATTCTTAATACACAGTATAGGAGAAGGGATAAGTTTACTTTAGCTTTCTGGATTTCAGTGTACCAACTTGCATTCTTTATGTTGGCAAAAATTTATTTCCAAATGTGAAACTAATATATTTCATTCTAGAAAAGTGGGAAAATAAAGAAAAGCATGAACAATAAGAGGTATCATCCAATGGTAACCACTGCAAACACAAGATCTATTTCCTTCTAGTCCTCTTCCTGTGTGTGCAGTTTTCGTCACAAAAATGAGATAATATGCTGGTTTGTTTCTACTTATTTTTATTTCTCCATGTTATATGACAATATTCTTTGCAAACATTTTCAGTGTGCATGATTTTCCACTGATTAGGTTGATTGTCATTTCTGTCACCATGCCCTGGTCTCTAATATTTACCTTATTCTGAGTAATTTTTGCCAAAATTATGAAAAATGCTATGATGGACACCTTCCATACCCCAGCGTCTGTATTTGGAGAAACTTCTTTGTGACTTACGTTCTTACAGAGCTAAGTGCCCATCTTTAGATCGGCAGAGAAAAAACTCAGATTGTCTGGGTTGGGAAATTGTGTTACAAGATCTGAGCCAAAGGTAAAATTAAATTTTAGGCCAACAACATGGTCACAGAGTCAAAAGGCTACAGAAATAAGGTGCTTCAAGTGGGATGAAATGAGATGGATTCAAAGAACCACTTCCCACTGCCAAGCAGTTCCCGAATTTATAGTACTTAATGGGGTGATGTTGAATCGACATATTTTGGAGATCAGTGCTCTCAGATCTTAACTATGTCTACTATGTATTTCAAAATAAGAGAAAGGATGGAGGAGGAGAGAGAGGGGAGAAAGTGAAGGAGAGAGAGAGGGAGAGAGAAAGGCAGAGAAAGAGGAAGGGAGAGAGGGGGAGAGAGAGAGACAGAGGGGCGGGGAGAACGTGAATCTGCTGATCTGTGAAATACAAGAGAAAGAATCCAGATCTTTAGGAAATTGT